TCCACATCACAAGAACCAACATCCACATCACAAGAACCAACATCAACAACACAAGAACCAACATCCACAACACAAGAACCAACATCCACAGCATCAGAACCAACATCCACATCACAAGAACCAACATCCACAGCATCAGAACCAACATCCACATCACAAGAACCAACATCCACATCACAAGAACCAACATCCACATCACAAGAACCAACATCCACAACACAAGAACCAACATCCACAGCATCAGAACCAACATCCACATCACAAGAACCAACATCCACAACACAAGAACCAACATCCACAACATCAGAACCAACATCCACATCACAAGAACCAACATCCACAACACAAGAACCAACATCCACAACATCAGAACCAACATCCACAACACAAGAACCAACATCCACAACACAAGAACCAACATCCACATCACAAGAACCAACAACCACAACACAAGAACCAACATCCACAACACAAGAACCAACATCCACAACACAAGAACCAACATCCACAACACAAGAACCAACATCCACATCACAAGAACCAACATCCACAACACAAGAACCAACATCCACAACAGAAGAACTAACATCCACAACACAAGAACCAACATCCACATCACAAGAACCAACATCCACAACACAAGAACCAACATCCACAACACAAGAACCAACATACACATCACAAGAACCAACATCCACATCACAAGAACCAACATCCACAGAATCAGAACCAACATCCACAACACAAGAACCAACATCCACATCACAAGAACCAACATCCACAACACAAGAACCAACATCCACAACACAAGAACCAACATCCACAGAATCAGAACCAACATCCACAACAGAAGAACCAACATCCACATCACAAGAACCAACATCCACAGCATCAGAACCAACATCCACAACACAAGAACCAACATCCACAGAATCAGAACCAACATCCACATCACAAGAACCAACATCCACATCAGAAGAACCAACATCCACAACACAAGAACCAACATCCACATCACAAGAACCAACATCCACAACACAAGAACCAACATCCACATCACAAGAACCAACATCCACATCACAAGAACCAACATCCACAGAATCAGAACCAACATCCACAACACAAGAACCAACATCCACAGAATCAGAACCAACATCCACAACACAAGAACCAACATCCACATCACAAGAACCAACATCCACAACACAAGAGCCAACATCCACATCACAAGAACCAACATCCACATCACAAGAACCAACATCCACAACACAAGAACCAACATCCACAACACAAGAACCAACATCCACAGAATCAGAACCAACATCCACAACACAAGAACCAACATCCACATCACAAGAACCAACATCCACATCACTAGAACCAACATCCACAACACAAGAGCCAACATCCACATCACAAGAACCAACATCCACAACACAAGAACCAATATCCACAGAATCAGAACCAACATCCACAACACAAGAACCAACATCCACAACACAAGAACCAACATCCACATCACAAGAACCAACATCCACAACACAAGAACCAACATCCACATCACAAGAACCAACATCCACATCACAAGAACCAACATCCACAGCATCAGAACCAACATCCACAACACAAGAACCAACATCCACAACACAAGAACCAACATCCACAGCATCAGAACCAACATCCACAACACAAGAACCAACATCCACAGAATCAGAACCAACATCCACAACACAAGAACCAACATGCACAGCATCAGAACCAACATCCACAACACAAGAACCAACATCCACATCACAAGAACCAACATCCACAACACAAGAACCAACATCCACAACACAAGAACCAACATCCACATCACAAGAACCAACATCCACATCACAAGAACCAACATCCACAACACAAGAACCAACATCCACATCACAAGAACCAACATCCACATCACAAGAACCAACATCCACATCACAAGAACCAACATCCACATCACAAGAACCAACATCAACAACACAAGAACCAACATCCACAACACAAGAACCAACATCCACATCACAAGAACCAACATCCACAGAATCAGAACCAACATCCACATCACAAGAACCAACATCCACAGCATCAGAACCAACATCCACATCACAAGAACCAACATCCACATCACAAGAACCAACATCCACAGAATCAGAACCAACATCCACATCACAAGAACCAACATCCACAGAATCAGAACCAACATCCACATCACAAGAACCAACATCCACAGAATCAGAACCAACATCCACATCACAAGAACCAACATCCACATCACAAGAACCAACATCCACAGCATCAGAACCAACATCCACATCACAAGAACCAACATCCACATCACAAGAACCAACATCCACAGAATCAGAACCAACATCCACATCACAAGAACCAACATCAACAACACAAGAACCAACATCCACATCACAAGAACCAACATCCACAGCATCAGAACCAACATCCACATCACAAGAACCAACATCCACATCACAAGAACCAACATCCACATCACAAGAACCAACATCCACAACACAAGAACCAGCATCCACATCACAAGAACCAACATCCACAGCATCAGAACCAACATCCACAGCATCAGAACCAGCATCCACAACACAAGAACCAACATCCATAGAATCAGAACCAACATCCACATCACAAGAACCAACATCCACATCACAAGAACCAACATCAACAACACAAGAACCAACATCCACATCACAAGAACCAACATCCACAGCATCAGAACCAACATCCACATCACAAGAACCAACATCCACAGAATCAGAACCAACATCCACAGCATCAGAACCAACATCCACATCACAAGAACCAACATCCACATCACAAGAACCAACATCCACAGAATCAGAACCAACATCCACATCACAAGAACCAACATCCACATCACAAGAACCAACATCAACAACACAAGAACCAACATCCACAACACAAGAACCAACATCCACAGCATCAGAACCAACATCCACATCACAAGAACCAACATCCACAGCATCAGAACCAACATCCACATCACAAGAACCAACATCCACATCACAAGAACCAACATCCCCATCACAAGAACCAACATCCACAACACAAGAACCAACATCCACAGCATCAGAACCAACATCCACATCACAAGAACCAACATCCACAACACAAGAACCAACATCCACAACATCAGAACCAACATCCACATCACAAGAACCAACATCCACAACACAAGAACCAACATCCACAACATCAGAACCAACATCCACAACACAAGAACCAACATCCACAACACAAGAACCAACATCCACATCACAAGAACCAACAACCACAACACAAGAACCAACATCCACAACACAAGAACCAACATCCACAACACAAGAACCAACATCCACAACACAAGAACCAACATCCACATCACAAGAACCAACATCCACAACACAAGAACCAACATCCACAACAGAAGAACTAACATCCACAACACAAGAACCAACATCCACATCACAAGAACCAACATCCACAACACAAGAACCAACATCCACAACACAAGAACCAACATACACATCACAAGAACCAACATCCACATCACAAGAACCAACATCCACAGAATCAGAACCAACATCCACAGAATCAGAACCAACATCCATATCACAAGAACCAACATCCACATCACAAGAACCAACATCCACATCACAAGAACCAACATCCACAACACAAGAACCAACATCCACAGCATCAGAACCAACATCCACATCACAAGAACCAACATCCACAGCATCAGAACCAACATCCACAACACAAGAACCAACATCCACAACACAAGAACCAACATCCACATCACAAGAACCAACATCCACATCAGAAGAACCAACATCCACAACACAAGAACCAACATCCACATCACAAGAACCAACATCCACAACACAAGAACCAACATCCACAGCATCAGAACCAACATCCACATCACAAGAACCAACATTCACAACACAAGAACCAACATCCACATCACAAGAACCAACATCCACAACACAAGAACCAACATCCACATCACAAGAACCAACATCCACATCACAAGAACCAACATCCACAACACAAGAACCAACATCCACAACACAAGAACCAACATCCACAGAATCAGAACCAACAACCACAACACAAGAACCAACATCCACATCACAAGAACCAACATCCACATCACAAGAACCAACATCCACAACACAAGAGCCAACATCCACATCACAAGAACCAACATCCACAACACAAGAACCAACATTCACATCACAAGAACCAACATCCACAGAATCAGAACCAACATCCACAACACAAGAACCAACATCCACAACACAAGAACCAACATCCACATCACAAGAACCAACATCCACAACACAAGAACCAACATCCACATCACAAGAACCAACATCCACATCACAAGAACCAACATCCACAGCATCAGAACCAACATCCACAACACAAGAACCAACATCCACAACACAAGAACCAACATCCACAGCATCAGAACCAACATCCACAACACAAGAACCAACATCCACAGAATCAGAACCAACATCCACAACACAAGAACCAACATCCACAGCATCAGAACCAACATCCACAACACAAGAACCAACATCCACATCACAAGAACCAACATCCACAACACAAGAACCAACATCCACAACACAAGAACCAACATCCACATCACAAGAACCAACATCCACAGAATCAGAACCAACATCCACAACACAAGAACCAACATCCACAGAATCAGAACCAACATCCACAACACAAGAACCAACATCCACAACACAAGAACCAACATCCACAGAATCAGAACCAACATCCACAACACAAGAACCAACATCCACATCACAAGAACCAACATCCACAACACAAGAACCAACATCCACAGCATCAGAACCAACATCCACAACACAAGAACCAACATCCACAGAATCAGAACCAACATCCACAACACAAGAACCAACATC